ATTTTCGACAAAAAGACAAAGAGATACATTGATACATTCATATTTTGTAGTTTCGGTGCTCTTAAAAAATCTCATAAAGTCGAACAAAAATCCCTACAAAATCCATTTTTTCATGTGTTTGCTGATTTAAACGTTGCCTAAAATGTAGATATAACATAGATTTTTAGGATTTTTTCGAATGAGCTATTAAAAAATAGAGAGAAATTTGAGGGTTTTGCCCTGTTGAAGCTCAAAACGCTTATGGTTCTTCAATAAAATCTTGTAGATTTTTCAGCGGTTTTTGAGCGCGCRCACATCGTGGGCTCAAATCGAACGTTCAAAAGTAGGCAGCCACCTTAAGGTTACAGATATCATTAGTGTGACATTAATTGGGCCTATGATTGATTGAAGGTTTCCATCTATGTTGCGTTATTGAGAAGGCAAATAGGGGTCTTGGGTGTCTCAGAGAGGATGAAAGTGTAGTTGGATAATATCTGGTATCTCAGAGAGAATGCAAGAGGATGGTAGGATGGGAATGGGAGATAAGTGTGTGGAGGGGGAGGACTACAAGTACTAACCTGCTGCTGCTACTCCTGACTGTGTGGCTGGTTTTGCTGCTTGTTTTCCCCTCCGCGTAACCTCAGCCTCCTCCTTTTTACTTGTCTTCTGAGAAGTAGTTGGTGTACTGGTACTAGCTTTTCTTGGCRACAAAGTCTTCCCAACAGTACCTGTAGTTTTCTTCTCCGTTAAAGGACTAGATGGTTTCTTGGTATCTTTTTGTACTCCTCTTGCTTGTCTGGTCAAGGAACTCTTTGGTTTACCTTCCCTTGGTTTACTCTCAGTAGATGTGTTCTGCTTTGGTGTAGATGTTGTTACTGGYGTTTTCTTCATAGTGGGTAATCTAGATTTAGCATAGCTTGGAGAACTTGTAGGTGAACTGTCTGCTGATGACACAGATATGGTACTTGTTGGCCGCCTGGTCACAGATGGCCTGTTATCAGAGGCTGTGTCAGGTTGTATTTTTTGAAGACCAGATACTGTGTGTCTTTTAACCAGTCTTAAATTCATTGCAGGTGTTTGGAGATTTGTTTTCTTCCCATTCAAATCTTTTCCCTCTTTTTGAAAGTTTGAATTAGAATTTTTCTGTGACTTTGTTTTTACTTTCCTAGACTGTGAGTTTGAACTTGAGACAGAGCTACTACTAAGTTTTCTCYGTGTCAACTTTTGACTTCCGATTGTCCCACCTGAAGACAGTGAGGCCTGTGATCCAGATGGCGAAGAACAACCACTGTTGCTTTTAGCAGCTTTATTGAGAGCATTAAGTTGCTCTATAGCAGGACTCCTTGTTATTTTCTTCAGATTTATGTCATCATCATCAGTTTCTTTAGCCAAAATCTCTTGTTCTTTCTTGCTTTCACTTTCTAGTTCAGATGATTTGACACTTTTATCATTCACAACTGGCCTCAAATCTAAATTGCCAAGAGAAGTTGACAAAGTTGGCCAACTTTCAGCCCTCTCAACGTTTTTGACAGACTCGGAAAGTTTATCTAAGGACCAGAACAAAGATTCAGTTTGACTAATGTGTCGAATGGGAACTAAAACAAGAGGAAGTGACGAAGATYGACCACGACTTGAAACCTTTTCTAGATACTCCTTCTCTGTATGACTATCATTAAGCGTATTCTCAGACCCAGAATCTACAAAGTGACTCAAATCCAAGTGYTTTACTTCCTCAGTTGGGGAGCTTTTCTCGGAGTGTGATTCCAGCCCTTGTCTGCCTAGGTCTATGCAGGACTCTAAGGCACTTGACAAGTGTTGTGATGGAACAAGACTAGGGCAGCTGCAATACTTTCCTTGAATAAAAGGATCAATAGTTTCATTCCCTTCCAAAGYTGCATGAAGTCCTGGGGTACTGGAGTCTTTTGTTGGTTTATTGTTATCAACAGAAATACAATCAGAGGAGAAGCATCTTTTATCTGGAACAGAGTTCAACTGTTTAGGTATTACATTTGCATATATGTTTTTGTACTCGGTTGAGTTAGGCATAATATTTCCACATTTTGAAGCAATTATCTCTGGCGGTTCAACATCAGAACTGTCCTTTGGTGTCCCATGGTGTCCTGTTTTATTCTCACAGCATGGGTCAGCTTCCATTGAAGAAAGATCACCAGAAACAATGGACTCACCATTTTCATGCACAACAAAATTATTTTCATTGCACAAATCTATGCAGCCATCCTGTCTGCTATCACCACCATTATTCTCCAACTGTTCAGAAAAWTTTCCAGAGCCATTTATCTCCTTTTCAGTAACAATCTTTGGAAGAGAATTAGAGTGTGACAGGCTGGCCTCTGTATGTTTGTTTTGCATATTATTTATGGATATTTCTGACTCGTTGTCAGAGAAAGACCTAGATCTTATCTTGGAGTTATAACCATAATTATTATACTGATTCCACTGTTGTGATTTGACATAATCAGTTGCAGCATTATTCACACTCATATCTAATTTATTCTGAGCATTCTTCACACTAGATGTATCTGGGGATTCCCAAGRGTCCACAACATCTGCTCCTGAATGTGGTGGAAGTCCTAGGTCATTCTCACAAACGGCTCTAACTTTATGCGCATGGACAAAAATCCCGTAGTTTTCTCCACAAGTGAAGTATCTCACACCTTTGACAGAGCCGTCATTTTTTCCACAAGGCTCATCAAGTACAATACCACACCATACTCCTTCACTGAAGTGAGTAGTACCAATGAACCTTGTAACTCCRCTTCTTAGTTGTTTGTTTATGATACAAATCACTCTTTGTCCAACTTCTTGAGGTGTCTGGTGGTAGTCACTGAAGCAAATGTTCTTGTTGTTTATGAAAAGCTTCGCCTCGGAGTCAACCTGTGAAGACAGAGAGATAAGATGATAGCCTAAATTATATGTCAAAGTGTCTAGTGTAACATAATATTCAAAAGTTAAATCAATATGTAAAGAAATATGTTTTCAGCACCACATATACGACCTTTTAGCCAAACATCTCAAGAAGCTGAAATTCAAAACACGCATTAAACAATGCTTTATGTTTATAGAACGGGTTCATAATCCCAAAACTAGAATAAGTAAATCTTTATCATGCAAATGCGCAGCACTTCACTMGAGATTAATTCATTAAAAAAGTGCTTTAAAAATAGAATAATTTAAGAACTATCCATATTACCTTGATAGGATATCAACCACAAAATTTAAGAGTACATTTTAGAACAATATTCAAGAYAATTTATAAATTTTAATTATACAAAACATCGATCATTTTATGGATTCTACGWCATATTAGTTCGAGAACGAAAACATTATGCTCCTTCCTCGCTTGGCAAATCAACCGGTAAATTCGCCTTTTGAATGGCAATAATTCTACAATTGTAAAGCCTAGAGCTTACAATAAACTATCCTGTCGATGTTTGGAGTTTATATGTAAGGACGAGGGTATAATATTTAGGCTTGACATGAAGAAATATGGAAAATATAGCTGAACTGAGCTGAACTGAACTTTATTTGGAAATGAGGACACTATATTCGTGAGGTGACTATGACTTGTAAGATGAAGTAAAGCTCGAGATAAGCTTAAAATTACATAAAAATAGTATTCACAGGCTATATAATGAAGTGAAAAMAGCCCTGCCATGTACTACTATACAGTAAATAAGGAATTGAAGTCCAGTTAATTTCAAAGTTGTGTTTACGTAGCTTCGAGCAACGAAAAATATTGAGCCTGACTTTAGACTCACGAAAAAGATTAAAATAGCAGCTTACCATACTTGAAGGATTATTGATCAGAGAAAATACATGGTAAATTTGTCATAAAGCTCTCTGATTCAGCGGGTTTGAGAGGTCAGGAAATCAGGAAAGCCCGGGAATGGTTTTTAAAAAATCACATCGAGGAACGATTCCCCGTAGATTTGGTTAATGGCCGCTAGACGAACAACACCGGCCAATCAGAACGCGACTTGGAAAACTACTGGGGGAGGGGTGGTAGGATATTAGAAATGGATGTTTGCAATATTGGGGGAAATTTTTAAAAAAAATTGGAAAAATGGAAAAATGAGATAACTAAATAGAAAATTAATGAAACAGAACAAAAATATAGGGAGAAAAGGAAACGAAATAGAAAAAAAATCAATAGTGCTAACGAAAATCTTTGAGGGAAAACAGAAAAATTGAAAGGACATTTTCTAAATACAAATTAAAGAAAGAAAGAAATCAAATATAACATTTCCCTAGTCCTTTGACTAGAAAAAGACAAAACAATGAACTAAAAATAGAAAATGAAAGCAAGATAAACGAATTAAATATCGGAAAAACAAATTAAAATAAAAACATATGCCGAATCAGCAGAACAAGTTTAGTATGCATTAAATTTAAAATAAGATTAGTTGATCATAGACTGCTAGCTTACGGCAGATAGACGTCCAAAATYAAGGGAAACCTTATTTTCGTCTTCCAACCAAAATGGTTGCAAGCAAAATTAAATCTTAGAGTTGACACATGTTTTGATATTTTTTCCGGCAAAAAGTCAATACTTTCTTATAACGTGCCATGCGCAATGTAAACTGTCTAATTCTAATCATTCTTATATTTATTTTTCATGTTCAAAAGAAAAAGGTGTGCGTATGTGAATGTGAATGTAGTTGTTTAAAAATACATTACACTAGAGCAGTGACGTTAAGGTTTGATGGTTTTGTGATGAATTATCTTATATGAGAACTTGCTAGATCCATTAGACAACGAATGTCGGGTTATTTTTGACTGACTATAATATTTTAGAAACAGAAGAYTCAAAAGTATTTTTGAGGATCTATTTCATCTGGAAGAATATCGTAATGAGATTCCGTCGATGGCTGTCTAGTCCTCGTAGTCTCTGCCCTATTATTTAAAATCAAACTGATTTTCGTAAAAAATTCAACGCTTAACTAAGTAATATGTTTGTAAAATAAAGATATAGGGTACGTTCCTCGATAAATAACTATAAATACACCAAAATACCGATATAAATCATCGCAGCATAGATATCGAAGTCGTCGTAAAGATGACCAAAAGCGCGCGAAAACCTAGCTCAAGAAATGACGCGTTGTTGCTACTGCATCGCGAAAAAGTATAGTCTTTCACTTCCATTGGWAAAAGCTGGAAATCTCTCACCTGGTATCTGTTTTCTTATAGAATTCTTGCTCATCGTAAAGCTTGGCAAAATCTACCGGAAGGATTCGGCCAATTTGATGCCTTGAAGTCGGTTCTTAGTCAGTCATTTCTCGCATCTATTCTGCACTTTACCGAAAATGGGCTCTAGGAATACCAACTAACCAATGAGCGTAGTCTGCTCGTATGTTAATACGGATGCGAAATCGTTCAATTAGGAAGGAAAATTAGATCCTGTCTGAGATCAGATATCGATTTAAAATCTAGCACCCAATTGCGAGGCAGGCATAAAAGTAAAATTCTTCGTACGTTTTTCATTATTTATAGCGTTCCAGATTAAAACAGTTCATGAAGACGTCGTTCATGAATATCTACWGGTTTTGCTCGTACTAAGCTCGTTAAACATAAAAGTGAATCCACAAAATTAAATGTGAAGTTTAATTCATTTTAAATGGTTGTTTACCCCTTTGGGCATTTTACATTTTTATCGCTGTCTCTTATTTTCGAAAAAAAAAATGGAATACTGAAGGTAGAAATAATGAGATTTAATACGAGACAGTTTATAGTCGGGTTTCACTCAGTATAATTTTATCTCGTGGGAAAGTACTGACGAACATCCAAAATAGCGACTTAGTCAATAGGGCCGGAATTTGAATGTAAGGGAATTAGTGAAATAAGAAGGATGATGCCAATATCATGATAACAAGTCAATAATATTATTCATCAGTAGGTTTTAGCAAATTTGAATACAGTTCAAACTAGACTTAATTAATATATCTCCCCTGCGCTGACTCATTGACATTTTCTGCGCTTCTGCTTTTCGCTTCCCCGCAAGGCTTTTCATTTTTCTAATCTTTCTTTTAACAGTTGTATTTCTGCGTACAATAACAATTTAAATATATAAATCCTGTAATTGATATGAATTTATTCTAATAATTGACGAATCTTTACACGCTATTCTACACGCTAGATTCTACACGCTCGACACTCTCACATGCATGACGTTTTCCGTTTCGAGTGTCTATTTCTAGGTTCGGCCTTTCTGCTCCTACTGAGTCAGTGCCATAAGTGCGCTTTTACAAGCCTTTCATGAAAAAGGTTGACCTGCTGAGCTATAAGGAGTATTCGTGCTTCCTAATTGCCAGTTTGAACTGGAATATCGAATGATGGCGGACCTGCTGAGCAGATCGGATAACGCATACTAGAATAAAAATAGACCTGGATYGTGCATAGGAATAAAAATAAACACATGTCATATACAAAACACATGAAAAGGAAAATAAGACTGCGAAAATAGTCAGCAATGTTTTTGTGAGGGAGGATGGGTGGGGATGACTAAAGYCCTTTAATCCACCCTTCCCGCGGCCTCATCATGTACTAACACAGGAAGCCCAATGCATGAATGAAAAATCATCGATGCAAAGATCTGTCTGTCGAAAAGTCAAGTTTGCGTAGCTGATTTAAGTTTCAAATTGTCCTTAATCATTAGTAATCTTTAATAAGGACAACCTGTCTCATAAAGAACTCAGCCAGGCAAAAAAATGTCCAAAAAAAGCAATAATAAAGTGACAGAATATAAGCCGAGCAATCTTTCTAATTTCTTTTTAGTTYAACAAAACTTTTCCCTCTGACACCAAATTCCACTGAGTTATTGGCACTATCTATTTCCAAAGTTTGAAGTACTTTTAAAAAAATAGGAGTGTCAAAGTTCATATCTAAATTAACACAGTATTGCGTTTATGGTTAATGATCTAAAATGTGTAGTTTTTGTCRCCGGAAAACGCTTTATAACTAAACCACTCGCTGAAATTTTGCAGAAAMAACCTACCCAAGAGTTCATATTCTCTTGGCCTACCCTAATCTCTCTTAAACAATTGAAAGAACTTTGAAGAAGCTTTTCTTACMGAAAAAAGTAAAATAGTTTGAACAATTAATAACAAAAGACAAAGGCGGCCATAAACGTCTTTTGAGCTAAACAGAATTATGTTTGCTTGGATTTATTGTCATTCTATCTTAAATTGAATACAGGCTTAAGTACTAGTTAGTGACTGACTCCATGATACAGAGAGAGACAGCMGATTGAAGTTTTGACGGAGGTGACACTAAAATGGCTTCAAGATTTTGTTTCAAAACTCATAAAGAAAAAGACAAAAATTACCTTAAATTTCTTTGCTTTATTTYGTGTTCCAGAAGCTCTGCATTCACCGAATCGTCTTGGAAAAGTCCTAATCCGTCGAGTTCCAAGCTCCCTTCTAACTTTCCTCTTGGAGTCACAGGGTTTAATCAACRAATCGCTATTAGATCGCTTGAATACTTCGTTTGGTTGACACGCATTAAGTTGGTGAAACTCGGGAGAAGTTTCCCTTCTTGTCAAAGGCCGCCGAGAAGAAAGAATTCTCGGATATAAGCGCTTTCTATCAAGTGACTTAGACAAAGAGTTAGTACCAGCAGTTCGAACAGGTCTATTGCCCACAGAACTATTTCTTGGATTCAAGCGTGGTCTAGCGTTACTTTCATGGGAAGAACTGTCGAGTGATTCTTTTTCGAAAGTTTCAGCATCTGTTGGCTGTCTTGAGGACGAAAACCTGCGAGATTTAGTGCTGTTCCAAGGGTGTTGTGCTATTTTCCCTTTATGACCATATGAAGACGATATAGGCATTTTGACAAATGCATAAATTTAGTATACTAATTTATTTGTAAGATAAAACCAGAATTTTCCAAAAGTGCACTTTATGAATTCTTGTTTTGTGTAGCCTTGCCTTGCGCCTTGATTTCAAGGTGTTTCTTGCCAATTTTCTTTTTCTCCTAGAAACAATTTTTAGTTCATTGGATGCCTAATATTAGAAGCTTTATAGCTGAATTTATCAATTTCAAGCACAAATCCATATGGATTTAAGTGTACAACTAAAACAGGAGATACTTATCACAGGATCTTTTATACCATGATAAAAACAGTCCTTAAACAACCTTGTACAGCTGAAGAACAAGGACTCATTAAACTCGATGGTTGGTGTTGACTCAGTGGATTATAATTGACGCTTCTCAATCCGCTCGGGGCAAAATTTCTTTACAACTTGTTTTTCAAAACRACCTTCAGTAATTCGGTCTTCAATAGTTAGGTATTCAAATCACTACTGCTCAACCTTAAGTGGGACTAGCCTTTTGATATCACTTTAGTAGCTTATCGTATRACTTGTTGATCCAATTGTTGCGTGAAGCTTGGAACGTTTTCAAAAATAAAACTGCTGGTAACTAATATGCAGTCGTATGATGAACTTCAAGCTCAAGCAGTCTTGATTATAGCACAAGTTTGTCAATGCTTTCAACTAGTACTGTATTCGGAGTTTTGAAAGTCTTCGTAAATTTGAATTACTTAGCTGCCCGAGATTCCTTTAGTAGCACTTGTAGAACTTTTTTCAAACTGCAAAGAGAAGGGGTCGTTTCTTGGGGCTTCTTATAGTTTGCTGGTGGCTATCCAAAATACCGTCTCGTGTTGTTAGAGTGTATTTACATATGCATGCATGCATAAAATAGTGGCAAACACAGCATGTAAACAAGTAGAGTTACTGTCACTTCTTATTCTGCTTGTGACGGCCCAGTAAGTCAGAACGTYATGAAATAATGGATATCATTGTCTGGGAAAATGGCAAGCCGTKGGAGCCAAACGAGGCGCTTCTAAAGAGCTGATGGCCCTAAGAAACTTGTTTTTTTTCTTCTTTGGTATATTAACAATAGGAACGGAGAATCATAAGGARCTTATAGTGAAAACGAATTCACCCAAGCCTTGTTGCTGAGAGTTAAGCAATTGTCCATGACCGCGTCTATGCTTTCTCAACCTCTAAACCAAAGATTTCTACATAACATAACATTTGTTATAGTTATAATACACTCTACAAAGTTACTCGATTCTGATTGGACAAGAAGAGTACAATTAAATACCAAATTGTACTCTGTAGAGTCAAATTAAGTTACTCTATTTTGTTGAGTGTATTATAAACAAACAATCGCACAATCTTCTCGTACAATTCGGAATTCCAATTTTGAAAACTTTCAAAACATCACGAATACCTATAAATTYCGAATTGTACTCGAGATAGTGCGATTTCCTATACAAAGTTTATTGAGTCCAGAATACCTACAGTATAGGCACTTGCTTTATGAGTTTCTTTCTTTCATTCCAGCTTTCTCGTAACAACGCGGCGTAGCCTCTCGCAGGTGAATTTTATTACCGGAAAACTAGAGAAACTTATTTTTCGATCATGTCACGAGCCATGAAGCCATAATGTTGTTTGTTCATTGCTAAGTCGGAGGTCCCGAGATGCGCCTCGGTAGCTCCAATAGTAATTCATTTGTTACGCACCTTTTGGTTTTAAACAATTTGTAGAGTAATGTCAACTGCGATTTTGAATTTGGTTACAAAAGAATAAAGCATTTTGAGCTTTCAAGCGTGAGAAAAAGATGAACTGAAGCTTAAAAACATATAATTTTAGGGCTTACAACTGTCTGCCATAAGAAATCCAAATTCATGATTTTTTTTTTAGAAAAATGGCGGGCGCCTTATTGCAAACATTGAAAAGCTAGCTTATAGCTAATAAGCTTGAAGAAGATAAAATATCTTACTGCCAGTGGTATTTTGAGCAGTAAAACTAAATGTTTTCTTAAGGTTTTTCTCGTTATTTTCCATGTGTATAGTGACTTATAACTAGTGATCAAACGTCACTCACCTCCCGCTCGTACTTCCTTGCATAAAGTCTTATCTTGTTCATAGTGACACTGCTAATAGGGCAACTGCTTTTTTTCTGCCAGGATCATTAGCTGAACGACGAACTTTTCTTATTTTCCCTMCCTTTATGTCGGAATATCTTCAAMGGGAAAACAACTGTAGCTGAGATGTTAAATGATAAGACAAAGAGAGAAAACAGAAATGTTTTTGTTTGTTTGCCAGTAATCAGTTCCTACGATGTGATTCAAAATAGCTAAGTGTGAGGTCAGTGGTTTCTGCTGCCACCAGTTTGTTTTGTCGGACACCTGTTTAGTCATTACACACTCAATAACCTTTTACGATACTGAGTAGACTTMTAAATGAACTGCTTGAACAAGCGTTTAACACAAACAAATCCAAACAAACTTATGAATAATTCATAAAAAAAGCGGGAAAAATACGCTTTCAAACAAAATGCAAGGGCGGATCCAGGGGGAGGGTCGGGGGGGGGGGGGTCGCGACCCCCCTGTCATTCTTGAGGTCAAATGGGCTCCCTGTGGTAAAAATGCGACTGGGATTCCTTTGCCCACAAAATTTACCCCTGAGACCCCCCTTCAAAAAAACCCTGGATCCGCCCTTGAAATGTATACTTAGCATCAATTTTATTACCATGATATAATGAAAATAATAGATTGTACGAAATAGAAAGAAGTAAGTTTTATCTGGTTTTGAAAAATATCGTTTATTTACAACTACCAGAGTAACCACAACAACAAAAATAATAACAAGATTTATGATCTTTGGGTATCCACGTGCCGGGGTATTTCCAGTAAAGCCTTGCTACAAAAGAATAAATTTTTTTTTAAATATTTTTTTTTCAATATGCTGTTTTCCATGACCGGTTCTAAATTTTAGCTTTCATATTATTATTTCTCATTTTCCCTTCTCTAGGCTAGGAATATTCTTTGATAAGAAATCGCGCGTGTTGCCTCCAGTAATATGGTGCGCAACGGTTTGGTTCAGTGTGTCAGTCTACGCTTCAAATGATTTAAATCAATTTGTGAATCCGAGAACAATGTCAGAASGTTTTAGTGACCGTAACACAATCCAACACCATTCATACCTCGTGACGGCTAGCGCCGAAAAGGTGAATTAAYGAAAGCATGCCATCTTGACGCAAAGCATCAAAAATAACCACTTCTCAAACTCATCGCGCTGAGTGGTTGGGTGTCATCGGGTGTCTGGTATTTGGCGCGTGTTCGTCATTGCATATCTTCAATACCTTTATCACCTCCGGGGAAAATGATCTGTAGACCATTAATTTCACCGATCTAGACTCAGTTACTCAATGGTTTAGAGYGTTGATTAAGAAAACAGTCAGAGGGGCTATAACGAAACGATGGTGTTGGTTGTTTGTAAGATAGCGTTCTAAAAGGAAGCTAATGTTTACTGATAGTAAGTATCACTGGGCAATCAGCGGTGCTTGGACATCGCATTAAACGACCGAGACACACGTCTCGAGCTAAAACGTCTCATTTGTCACTCATGCTTCGCCAAGTTGAAGATCGGCAACCTCATATCACTTCACTAGTGAGGGCATTATAAAAAACAAAAATGGAACTAAGTCACTGGGGGCGGGGTGAATTTAAAGTGGCAGAGTCGTAAACGAGAAAAATGGCCGCTAAAAAAAGGCGCCAAAAAAAAAGAAAAAAAAGAAGTAAATCTATTACAAATCAAGAAAGTATTTTCTGTATGAAAGCTATGGTTATCTGCATAAAGACATAATTGTCTGTTATTTTCGCACTTCAGACTCGCTGGCTCCGCTATTGATATTTGTTATTTCGTTTTCAAAAGGGAATTATCGATAGTTGACTAGAGCACTTGAAAGAGCGACTAACGGAACCTCGTCATGAAACGCCCACTCGAACATCCCATCATTTTCATTATCTTTTCTGTCTTCTGATGCTTTGATAGATTGCCAGACGTTTATTRCACACTTCTCTTACGTTTCAGTTGTCAATATCGACATCTGATAGTTATATCGACTGGCGACGGCCAGCCCAACCACACGAGGCCTAGGACATTGAGCTCACTGGAACGAAACCGTTTTCGAAACGCGTTTTCCTTTCGAAATCAGAGCTTTTCATAAARCTCATTTTGAAGAGCCAAAGAGTTTCGACACGTTGTTCCGTAACGACAGGTAGTCGCACACGCTAATTAGTTAAATCCTGGGTTTTTGTTTGTTAAGTGCAAAGCTAATTCCCCTAAAGTAGTGCGGGTCATCTAGCTTATTCAGTTCTCCAAGCTAGCGCTATTCAAGTAGCGTTAATTAAAACTCAACCACGACAATTTAAAGTTTCTCCTGCATGTGGTCGAACCTTTCCCAGCTGGCCGTGAACGTTTTAAGACTTCRCAATCAAAGAGTTGGTATAAAGAGTGCACTATATCACTTCCGTTGTTGACCATAAGAGTTCCCGCTTGTTTGTAGGAAAACTTTATGTCTGCGGCTTAAGCCATCTAAAAATACTCCTGTCATTAGCATTTAAAAGGCATTTCAGGAAAGATGGATAACGATTGATACTAAATTAGTTCTATTATTCTGCAGRATTGATTAACGAGTATAATTGGGAACCAAGCAGGATAATATGCGCCAGAGTGGTTGAGTGATAGAGTGATGCTATTTATTTTGACGCCATTTGTCATCTATAGCTTCAATTCATTGAAGGGCGCCTCTTTTTCCGTGGAAACACGGCGATATCAAATACCTCAACAAGGCGTTTTGCAAAACCTTTTGGTCCATGAAAATTCTCTTTTACAAACAGTTTGAGTTTAAGTTTGAGTGTCTAAAGCATAAGATTTACTGGCCCGCCCTTAGCTCTTGAAAACGACCATTATGTCACAGCTTTTATTATGATTCATGAAGAATCCTCAATACCGATAACTTTTAAGTAATTACGATTGTTTTTAGTGGATTTTTCTTATGATTACTGTCTGCATTATGATTCTGATAATTACATAATTTTTATGGGAAAATATCTCAACTGAAGGATGTTTTTCATAAGGTTTTAAAGTCATAATGCATGTGAAAATGATACTACACTATTGGTTTAACCATGCTAGATGTTCGACGCCTGTAAGAAGACATGTCTTGACGAGATGGTCGAACAAGTAGTTTTTTAAAGAAATGACTAATACAGAATAAAGACAGTTACTGAAATTTTTTAATTGAAAATCAATAGTTTTTTTTAATACAGATGTAGGTGTCGTCAGTATGACTGAGCGACGGGAAAACATTCCGGGTGAAAACTAGTTAGAACACATTGAAAATCGAAACGATCATCGTGTGCCATCAACTACAAACGTGCCGCTTACACGCTACAAGACGTACAGCCATAAAGAAAAACTTTATAACAAGGACATAACGGCCGGTTATTATGGCTCGCGAATCAAGCAATAACCGGTAAACTTATGACATTTATTTTTTCTTGGTGTCAATATTATCTTAGTCGGAGTTTCAGTGTCGGGACTGTTTAACTATATATACTGGAACACTGCTGAATATGTTTTTTCCATGTTTTCCTAGCGCTTTTCAAGGGATTCGAAATAAAAAATCTAATAACTTATAATAAAAAAATCTTTAACATGGTTATGTATATATATACAGAATTTTTCGGCCCTTGTTTTTTGGTTAAAGCTAAAGATAGCCTAAAAATCATTTATGGAAACTCAGTCCAGTAGAAGAAAAAAAAAAAAAAGAGCTTCTACGCATAACTAAGTTTAATCATTTTAACCGCAAAGATTTTCACCACATGAGTCTCACACGATTTATCCGCGCGAAAAGAAAAAAAAAGAAAAGAAAAAAAGAAAAAAAAGAAAGAAAAAAAAGAAAGAAAGAAAGGAGTGCAGTTTTATAAACTAAGAATCGAGTCTTGATAGCTTATGGCAGAACAAGAGAATAAGAAATGAGACTTGCAGGCGCTGTGGTTGATGACTCACTAATCTCAATTCCTCATCGCCTCTTTACGTAATTATATCAAAATGATAGCAAGTCTGCGCGAATACCGGTAAAAAGAGGTATCCTTAAAGAACAAAAAAACGCTAAAGCCTTCGAAAACTCTCTTTTATTCTAAAGTAATAAAAACTTCTGTTTGTTGCGCAGATAGATCGAAACGAGTTTCTTCGTTTTAACGGGTTACTCAATGGCCAATTGTACTCTTCATTGCCAGTTTTTTTTAAATCAAGAAATAAATAGGAATTTGAGCTAAGGTTGCTTAATAATGAAAAAATTCACATAAAGTCTGTACTTGTCTCTTTTTCATATTGTTATGATTTTTGGAATGAAAGAAATGAATGAGAGGTTGCGCACCACAGCGATCCCATCGATAGAAGACAAAAATATTTAGATCAATGCATTCCTAGCGATACAACATGCGTGTCAATTAAAATTTCCAGATTTTKTATAGGTTACTGATTGACGAACAGAAGAAGAAAACTTTCATTCCAAATGCCATACAGTTAAAAAAATAGGTCATTGATTTGCCCTATAAGCCTCACAATCATGCATTTTTGATTAAGCTTACAGAGTTACTGATGGAAAGATATTGCTATGTTCAGGCAGACATTGTATGATATGTGAAATACAAATAGTGTTGAATGGAAAGATGGATAGATTCGGTGGATGGAGAGAAGCATTGAAAAYCCTTCAAGTAGGAGTAAAGATTAATGGTTTCTATCACTAATGGCTTCCCACTTCCATCCACATACAGATATACTGTATACACTCAATACTCCATTTTACAGTTCTGTTCAGTAACCAGGAATGATAGTTCCAAGCTGAGGCTGGAGTTGCTGTGCATGATAAACTGTAAACCTTTTTTAACACCTTGGACAATTATTCACAAGTCTCTATCATTGCAAGCTCACCATTAATACAAATACAATACAAATTTTGTATTGCTTTGATGCAAAGGCACAGCTACCTTTGAAGATTGCGCAGGGAACTGTGAAGGGGATGATTAAGCATAAACAAGCAGGTATATGAACATATGCAATGTACATAACAAGAACATAAACTAGATATTGAATACTGTATTTGATAGTGTTTAGCGAGTATAAGTCACTCATATAAAGACTTTGTACATTAAAAGTGTAAAATACACAATTAYAATTATTCTCTAGCCCAAATTCTGTACCATTTTTGCTACGGCGCCAGAAATATATAATATTCTTCACATACATATAAACTCATGTACCCTCGACATGCTTATATAATTTGTCCTACAGATGACTCAAGCAGCAGTGGACACTTAAACCATGAAGAAGAGRGTCACCTTTTTCTTAATTTGGTATMATTAATTTTGTTTTGGATGTGTATGTGACAGAGATTGCAGAATGTTTCCCTCAAAAGTTTTCCTTAATAAATGGTTATCTATAATTTTCAAATATCACAGAAGGGAATGCCAGTATTAATGATTTGAGTGTCCACACTGTTGGGTAAATATTTTAGGACCAAATTTTCAAGATGCATTCAAACTTATCAAATGATTCCATTTTGAGCTACCATTTTGGACTAAAAAGGAATTGTTTTGTTAGCTACACTTGATTKAAATTGTGAAATACAAAGAAATATTTCCATGTCAATCTACCAACACCCTAATCTGCACAGTCATGGATAAATATGGCATAGTATTTTTTAGAGCAGTTGCCACATGAGTGGGGGGGTGACTTAGAGGACATACACTGAAATGGCTTCCCATTGCTTTTAGTAAATCGTCCAATCGTGAGACACTTAATGCTATCTTAAGCAATGTATCTCAACAACTACAGCATGATTACAAATTCCCACTCACAGTAAAACTACTGTAGCTAGATGTTGAATTAAAGAAGCACTGGAATGCCATTTCAATGCCATGGTACATGGTTTTGTGTATCTGTTGTAAGCCAGTACCACAGGTTTCCCATTCATACGAAAACTCCTCTACTTTATCTACCAATATAGCATGGCAAACATGAATAAATTGCACCAAAATGAGGCTAAGTGGGAAATCAATAAAATATGTAGAAATTAATGGAAGTTGTAGTACCAGTGACTAAAAGTGTATTTCAATATCAAAATACAGCATGAATTATTCATTTTATAACCAATTAAGGCGGCAATGTTAAGAAATCAGACATGTTTGCCATGCTTTTTAAGATGAGACTTTTAACCTCGACTTAATCCATGAAAATCACATTACTGTATCGGAATTGGCATATAAGATAATAACAAAAATAACAACAAAATAGCTCTTGGAATGCGAATGTCTAGGAAACAAAATTCTAATAAAATCAATGCTAGAGGCAGATCCATAGTTGATGGGGTACACCTTTGTTCAGAGACATACCAATCATCAAGAAAATGCAAAAATACCAAACAAAATTTTCTCTACTTTAATCTTCGTAGAATGGGTTCCTATTGTTACTCACTGGCATAAAATTTGAGGTGCAATTTGAATGGGTACATTCTTAAGATTTTCAATTCACGTGACAATTTCATGTGCAGTCAGAGATGACCAACTACTGTTTTTTTATGTAGCATGCCCCTCAAAGTTGAGAAWAAGAAACCATTTATGATGCTTCTCAATAATATAATGGCATGCGCAGAATAGTACGACTTGCCRTCAAAATGAAATARGGTTTTGGTGGATGTCAATCAAAGGGTTACCATGACAATGTCAGAAATCACGAAGTTTTCAAGGACCAATGCCTATGGTATGACATGGAAACACCTTGATGTCTACCAAAACTTAATTAGTTGTGACAATGATTTTACACATGCTATTGAAAAGAAGCACTGTTATAGACATAAAACCCCATTTAAAATCCCTTGATCTGCCTCTGCACTAGCTTTGATAATTAATTCATGATGATTTAAAATTCAATAAGCTGATTTTAGACGGAATTTAAATTTTTCTTAGTTAGACAAATAAACTGTTGAAATATCTGTAAAAAATTTAGCCACTGTGCAGTATTCTCGCAGCTATATACTTGTCTTCTTATCATTAAGAATCGATATTAACTAATAAATAATAATATATCTCAGAGTATCAATTCTTGAGGATTCCTAAAATTTGTGTCTTTTCAATAAAGCTGAAATTACCATCAAAAATACTGTGCTTATCTATCGATTCCAGCTTTTGTAAATACTGCTATAGGATTTTGACATCTTGTTCAAAGAGCACAAGTCTAAGCAGATGTGTCGGAAGAGGTAGTTTCAAAGCATTTTTTGTCTTGTCTGGTTGCAGTAAAGTTCTAACTTTTGCAGAACATTGAAGCTGTAATGATCGCGGTTGCTTTTGGACATTTTCAAGCCATTCTCGCAACCGTAAGTCTCTGGTGATAAATCTCTCTGGTGTTAAACCAAGACAATTCTTTGTCCATAAATTGGCATTTGCCTGGACTAGTCTCTTAATACAATAAAAATGGTGATGCCATGCCGCTAGGTGCAGAGGTGTGTCATCATATGAAGTTCCTTGTGTTAAGCATATTGTTTTAGCATTTACGTTAGCACCATATCTGAAAAATAAGGATGTCACAAGATTGGAAATAATGAACAGAAAATAAGGAATGGTTGAATGAATTAATAGATGGAAAGAATTACGTTGATGGATGGATAGGATAARCGGAGGACTGGAAATCGCATGAGAGGATGGTAGAAGAATGTTTGGATGGATGAATAAARAATAATTACTGTAATCAGCTTTGCTTATTTGTTGCCTTAGTTTGAATGAACTCACAGGTTGAATYGTAATTTAGCTAGTTAGGTTTTGCAGAGTTAGGAAAACCAGAGAAATCCCCACCAATCAAGGGAAAGACCTAAAAAACTCTGCTTACATGTGATGCCAAGTCAAGGAAAGAAACCTGAGACCCCAGAGGTTAGAGAGGAGTATACTACCACTACATTTATTAAATACCAACTCAGTGTTAATGACCAAAAGACGTTATCCCGAAGAGGGTTTGATGAAATGGAATGAAAATAAAGATGTTTTGCTTACCGTATTAAAGCTTCTACGCAAGATGTATGTCCATATACAGCTGCAGAGTGTAAGGCTGTCCACCCTTCAGAAGTAGCAGAGTTTACATCTGCACCTTGTCTCAACAGAGCCTCTAGACAAGCCAAGTGACCATACTCTGCCGCATGATGTAATGGTACTTGAAGGACCTAAAATAACAACAACATGTGAGGGCTACATTAAGGATAATGATGAATTGCGTAGCACTTTATGTAGAGTATATATATGAAAAACATAATTCATATATATGTGGTTTAAGTGCCTAAAAATATGTTTAGGAAATCAAAYGATCTCGAGTACAAATCCGAATTCATAGGTACGAGTGATGTTTTGAAAGTTTTCAATATTGGACRAGGCATTAGACAAGTCCAATTTGAGAACTTTCAAAACATCACAAGTATCTATAAATTCAGAATTGTACGAGAAGATCGTGTGATATTTTGTTCATAATATGCTCAACAAAATTGAGCAACTTAATTGGGACTCTACAGAGTACAATTTGGGATTTAATTGTATTCCTCTTGTCCAATCADAATCGAGTAATTTTGTTGAAGGCCCACCTACAACAACAGGATTTGCTGAATTAGGTTTGCATATAAATAYTATCTAATTTACTTGTGCATTATATTTTAGCTTACCTATGAAATTATGAACTTTCAGCACTGTATGTCTACTGTCAGTTTATAGATCAATAATTGCAATTATTATGCAATTAATGCATTACTCRGGTATAAATACAGTTTTTTTCTGTTTGATAAAGTCCATCTACCCTTGGGGTGCAACCGCACGACTCAAAACCCCTTGAGATATAAATAACAACGAAACAGCCGCTATATTGGTTGATCTAACAAGGGAAGCTAATGAGGAATGTTTCGGTATTGTCAACCAACATGGTGGCTATGAGGTGACATGCACCCCAAGAATATTGATTTCTACTGTATATTGATGCTGATACATGAGTAGTTGTGAAATAATGCTTTCCCAATGTTTGTAAATAGACTCAACACTACAACAGATGTTTTTATATTAATATTACCAAAGACAATAAGAGCAGACAGTGAGACRAGATTGGTGTGAACTATGGCTAGATTTAATAATTCATATCCATCATTAATAAGACATGAATTTCTTTCTCTAAAACAAGTTTTGGGGTACTAGTCTCATGTCCAAAGGATAATGACCAAGCTTTYGTTCTTATAACTTGCGGTGCATGCATGGAATATTTAATGCAGATATTTATATTTTTAATTTATTTATAAGTAATATCTTTATAAACATCTTTATTTATTTATGATAATTAAATTTTATGAAGCTTAACATCACTAGCAAACAAAAAATGAACAATGTTTGAATCTGTTTGCTCTAATGTCTAATGGTAGATGGTGATAGTCTTCATSAGTATTCTAAGATAGATTCCTAGTGTGCTGTAGGTAAGCAGATTTAATATCTAAGATAAAGTCCTAGTGTGCTGTGGGTAAGCAGATTTAGCATCTTTAGAAAACTTCCGACAAAAAGCATCCTAGACTACTAGCTAAATAAAAACAGTTGTGGCATCATGAAACCAGCATCACTTTTTTCACATATAAAATAATTAACAGAACATGWAATATCTTTGAAAGCTATAAACAAATAGCATCCCAGACTACTAGCCGAATAAAACAGTTACGGCTTCACTATTTTCACAGGTAAAATAATTAACAGAGCATGATAACCAAAATAAATGAAAAAGAAATAAGTAATGTTTATAGATAAGACAATACACTGAACACGAACTAAGAAAAATCAGCCAATGGCAGCATTCATAAATCTTAGACATAATACATTATATATCTTTTCCATTATCATATAGAAAAAATCAAATCTTTTGTGGCTTTTATTGATGCCTTATGGCTCTTTATGCAACCAAAAAATACATTAAAAACCATCGTCTTTCTTTCTTATTTTGRTCAAATTAATTGTTGTTGAGATATCTTGCCTGAAGCATATTAACTATAATATTCATCGACAAAGCCTTGTATTATTCATTGATTTTCTTTAGACACAACATCATATTTATATCATTCAGACATGTGCAAAATGGACAGCATTTGTTCAATATAGTTTTTGACTGATAAAAAATTCAAGAAATCCTCTTGCCTGCACGCCTTGCATTCACWAGAAACCCTAATTCTTTCATATTTGAATTTGAAAAAAATGAATTTTTAAGACAACATTACACTCTTTTTTTAAGAGTTTATGAATTYAATTTTCATATGTCAAAACATTCATCACTTTAATTTGTAAGCAAGCAAAAAAATATTTCTTAGAGACATGAAATTTAGKTTTTTTTGGTACAAAGAATGTTAAATACGTGTGCAGTTTTAATATGTTTTGAAAGATGTTCATATGAGTCAAAACTTAAGTCAATAATTGAGGATTGAACAGAGCTGAAACTCAACAGTCTATAGATGTCCTTATTAAACAATGTGGACCATGAATAAATTGGCATGGGTAATGCCTTTATAGTAAGGCTATGAATCTAAGAATCAACGAACAAACAAATGATTAAGATTTCCTTGGAAATAAACTATCTATACCTATTTTTTAGGTTGTGAGCAACGAAGGAAGAAATTYAATATATGAACCAAGCTATGTTTAGGAGGGGTACGGTTCTAGAAAGTTGTTCTCACATTGCATGCAGTCTGAACRAGAAGCACTTAAAGACTAATGCCCTATGATTATATCAAGCCAGACTGGAAACAAAACGYGATCACGCAACCAAACCATAATTAACAAAAGATGAAAAAAATATTGTTGCTTTTCAGTTCAGTTTTAACGTCTTAAATGAAAAAATAAATCTTTATATTATTTAAAGTTCTTATTTTTGCCTTGGTGTTGTGTCTATTTATGAAGGAAAAAACGAGAAACTAAGCTGAATAACAATTATTGTGTCCTTTTTGAAAATTAGAATAAGTCTAAGCCGATTACTATAAAAAAGTGTTTAGAAATCTACTAAACCACATGCAAACATTTAAAAATTCTTTAAGAAACCGAGTTCAAAGACACATTTAATGTTCCATTAATACACCATCCATCAATTATACACCAGGGTGTCTGTTTGTTCTACATGTTAAATGGCAAGAATACACATAGTCGATTTGGAAAAGAATAATGCTGTCTCCATGATATATTATTAAATAGAATACATGGCATTAATATCTTCTTTCATCCATTCTTTAATAAGAAGTCTTTTAGGTTCATTGTATAAAAACAATCTGAAGAGTAGTCTAGTGCTTCCTGAAATTGTAAGATGTTCAACAATATTTTTGAAATTTCAAAAATGAAAATTAATTTCTTTGAAAATATGATTGTATTTCTTGGTGTCATTTTGTTTTTCAACAAAACCGGTGAAAAACTTCAGAAAATAGAAATTGTCTCATTTAATCTAAGTTCTTGCTATCAAATTTACCAAAAGATTATCTAGTTATATCATGTACTTTTTTTTTAACTGTAAGTCTTCATTTAATGACTATTAAACAATAATAAGACAAAAACTTTGATCAGCGTAAGTTAAAAAAGCAAGCAAATTATGTAACTTAGGTTGAGGAGAAGGTTGTTTAAACAAAATGGTAAATAACATAGTAATATAATTTCTGTTTCATATTGCTTTACTA